AATTTACGAACTGTCCTATTTTGAGTTTTATTTTCCAAGCGATATCGTTAAGGAATAATTTCACAGATTTGTTTTGTTTTTTATTATTTTACAATAATTTAAAATTAAAACTACTATGAACAGAAAAGAAAAAAATAAAATATAAATTAAATGATAACGTTTAGGAAATTTTAATACGATACATTTGAATTGCCTGAACAAAAATTTTTTTGCACAAATATTCAAAAAAAATATCTAAAATTCTTTTCAGTTTTTTTAAAAATAAAAAAAAAAAAAAATAGCATTTTGAAAAAAATTAGCACGAAAAACCGATTTAAATTGATTTCGAAAAAAGTAGAATATATTAGCAAAGTTTATCAATTATTTTTTTCAAATTTTTGAAGACGGTAAAAATTTTTCCAAATTTTTTTTTTTAAATTTTTGAAAACGGCAAAAATTTTTTGATTTTGGGCAAAAAAATGTAAAAGTAAAGGGAATTCCAAGTTTACATTTTTTTTTGTTTCACAAAAATATTCAAAAAAAAATCTGAAAATATTTTTAGTTTTTAAAAATTAAGAAATTAGCGCGAAAAAGTTGAAAATATTAGCAAAGTTTATTGACTATTTTTTTGAAATTTTTTTGAGTAAAAAGTTTTCCAAATTTTTTTTTTTAAATTTTTGAAAACGGCAAAAATTTTTTGATTTTGGGCAAAAAAATGTAAAAGTAAAGGGAATTCCAACTTTACATTTCCTATTATTTTCCAACTTTACATTTCCTATTATTCCACAATTCCTATTATTTTAGTTATATTAAGTCTTCCCTAAGGTAAACGTTAGCTGAACATTAACGCCGTGAATGATATGCAACTTAGTGGCGATAAGTAATGATCCAAATATGAACACAATCTTTTTAAGTAATTAAAGTGACATTGATCACAATGTCGAGAAAGTCCAGTTGATTTTAATGCCAATTCATAAATCAAATGAACCACAATAATTAATGATATAAAAACAATACTTAATTAATTAAAAAGAAATAACTTAATGCCAATAGAATATCTAAAAATTTTCATTTGAAATTGGAAAAACTTGACATACCGATATTCTTTGTAAACTAAAATATCACTACAAACATACATTTATTTACTTCAGAAGTTAATAAATGTGCAATTGCTCATTGTTAAGTTATTATTCTCATTTGCGATTCCTAGAAAGTCAACGTTATTAACGATCAAGATGTAACAGAAATTTCCCTAATACTAAAATTTAGTAGTTCAATTCAGAAAAAAAGCGATAGGTTTACTTCCATAATTGAGATCGCAAGATTTCAAAGATAAGAAAACACTATCGAATAGTTAAACCATATTCCTGTCAAAACACAAACAATAATGAATTGTTATCGCTGGTCAAAAGGCGCTTGCTTTTTTTTTTTCGTTGTGTTCACTTTGCTCTTCCTTTTTCCATTTAATTCGAGAAATTTAAAGAACAGAGCAAAAAGATTCCATTGTCAAAGTATAAAAGGCGCCATTTTTTTCATCTCCAACCATTATAATAAGTTCGGTCATTATTTTTTTAATTTTTAAGAAAAAGCTTTCAAATACTACACTTATCAGTGAAAGAATTATGCGCTGACCTTTCTCGACCAACTTCCAAATAATGTAGTACTTAGGAGTAAAACTTTAGGAAATATAATTATAATAAAACTGATTTGATATGGCAAAGTTGTTGGTATATGTTATTTTCATCATTTATTGTAAATAATTTTCGATTTTTTTTTCTCAATTTGTTATTAATTACTTTAAAACATTAATAACGGCAGTGATAACATCAGTTTTTTATTTGCCATTTTTTGCCTTTAGTTTTAATCAACTATAATCAAATAAACTTAATATACGGTAAAATCTAATTCCGGAATCATTGGACATTTTTAAACATTTGCAAAACTTATAGATTGTATTTTACTCTCAGCACATTTCAGGTAAATATTTTATTTATACTTATTTCACTTATCTTTTTTATCGCCAATTTCAATTTTTGTATGTCAGGAGTGAAAATAGTTGAAAGCTTTAAAAATTTGCAATAAGTTACATTGTTGAATCAGTTGTTACATTAATAATAACAAATTTAAATTACAAATTTGGACTTCTATTTTGAAATACCGAAATAATTTCGCGTTTTCTGACAATTTGACTTTCTTTTCGAATTGTGTATAGTTGACTTTTTCTTAATTTGCGTATTCAGTAATGATAAGCGATTTAATTGGGAAACGAAAATGCTAAATTTACGAACTGTCCTATTTTGAGTTTTATTTTCCAAGCGATATCGTTAAGGAATAATTTCACAGATTTGTTTTGTTTTTTATTATTTTACAATAATTTAAAATTAAAACTACTATGAATGTTAGGTTTTGACGTTCTGCAATAACTCAATGTTTTATAAAAATGAGAAATGCTTGCTTGTAGTGCTTTACGACGATTACGAATCATTCATTTTCATTGCTTTACAATAATAAACAATGCTTGTTTTCATTGTCTTATCAGATTCAAAATTTCATAACAGTAGCAATCAAATATTCGACCTTGGTTTATTTAACTTTGAGTTAATTTATTCAAATATTTTAGTTCCATTACCTGAATGCTTCATCTCACAGATATATATGAAATTCGCATGCGTCTTTCTATTTAAAATAGAGTAAATAAGCTTTGATTTAAATTTAAGGAATGGTTTAAGAAATTTGATATTGCTAAATTTTGAGGTTAAAATTGCACATTTGCTGTTTTCCAATAAGAAATATTTTATAATGTTTAATTGTTGCAAAATTTTATTAATTGCATATTGTTATCATAGTTGCATTTTCATTTAGAAATGAAAAAGAAAGGAATAAGTGAATTATTTACATTTGTTTTTTCTTTTTTTTTTTTTTTTCTTTGTGTGTGTGTCTTTTTTATGAGTAATCAAAAATGATTATTCCATTGGTAAAATAATTTTAATGATAGCTAATAATTTTATCATTTTTTAAAAAATTATTTCCTTTTAGCATATTTCTTCTTACATATAAAATCAAACGTACTAAGAAGATGAATTAGTAGTTGGATAAAGGTTAAGGTCAAAGGATTGCGTCATTTGCACATGGGTTCAGGTCATTAGAAAGGGAAAATCATTGGTTGCGCTAAGCTTTCTATAAATCTTTTCAGCATTTATATTCCAAAAAGTGATACCGTATACTATCGCTTTTTGAAAGTTAATAAAGCAAAAATGTGTGGTAAATTTGTTTATCATTTCATTTTGTTTTTTAAATATTTTTTTTCCTTAGTTTATTGTTTTATCTAAATTTATAATATTTAAAAAAAATTCTGAAAATCAATTGATTTTCATTTAATTAATTGAGAATTGAAAGATGGACCAACAAAATTTTTGCTTTTATTTGATTTGATAGAAAAACTATTCGATAACAAAATCAGAAGGAAGTAGTGAAAGGTATAAAAATTCAAAAATTTAAAATTAAATAATTTGTTGATTCACTAAATTTTATAGCACTATATGCTTCTGAGAAAATAACTTCAAATACTATTTATGCTATCAAAAGTAATCAAAGTAGCAACTTTAAATTGAAGTGTATTAAAATACTTTAATACAAAGTTGAAAGCAGTAAATGATAAATAAAATGTGATATTAATATTAGTGATACCATATCTGCCACGTTATATGAAACCAGGTCAACCTTATGTCGTGTGTGATGATGATGCTATCGGTTTGCACTACAGGTATCATTTTTATCACTGATTAATCATTTAGATAAATAAATTATAAAATTATTCAAAAGTTTTTGCATGCTATTTTAATTTTAAAAATAGCACGAAAAAAATAAGAAAATTTTAGAAATTTTAATAAGCTAAAAAATACTAATAAAAACAAAACTGAATTAATCCTATTTAAGGACGATAACATGCGAAGGTTGCAAAGGTTTCTTCCGACGAACTCTTCAGGTAAGTAATAAAATGTTTTTTGCAAGAATTTTTCTAAATGTATAGGTACTGAATTGTTCAAAAATTATATCAATTATGCAGCACTGAACAAATAATTTGAGAAAATAAATGATAAATAGTTGAACATATTTCATTTTGAATATATTGTTCGGTAAATAATTTGTTGCACAATTATAATTTTTTAGTATCATTAATTAATTAATGATTATTTTATGATTATTTCATCAAAAGTTTAGCATTATCTCCAAGTTTTTCCTTAGTTATTGCAATATTTCTAGTGCAATAATCCTGAATAACTGATAGTGAAATATTTTACGTCTCATCAAATAAATTATTAAATTATCTCTCATTTAAAAATATAGAAGAAAACGAAATTAAAAAGAAAGTCAAAAATAATAAAAAAAAAAAAATTCAAGAATAAATACTAACCTGTTACTTTTACATTTGTGTTACAAATTTTTTTCTAAATTTCAGATAATTTTTAAGAGTGAAATTTTGACGCATCAACTAATTTACGTGTATTTAAGCGTAATAAGACGTAATAATGTCACATTTTTGCAGCAAAATATTGTATACAAATGTAATGGCATTGAACAATGTGAAATCAGCAAGTCTTCAAGAAATATTTATCAATTTTGTCGATTTCAAAAATGCATGGACAATGGAATGATGAAATCTTGTCCGTATTGATTGAATTAAGTGAAATTTAAAAAAATGAAAACTTTTTTTCAAACTTTTGAATTGCATTGAATTGATTTTAAATTAAATAAACTAAATTAAATTCGTTTAAATTATGCTGAAATGATATCATTGCTATTTTTTGCATCATTCATTTTAAAACTAATTTTATCGCTTTCACAATATTTCTTTTGACTGATTTTAGATTTCAAAATCTAAAAATATTTCGATATATTATTTACTTGAATCTTTTAGGTATTTTATAATTGAAAGAATTTTTCATTCTTATTATTTAGTATGTCAAATTATTGAAATTTTCGACGAACAGAACTCTTTTTTTTTTTTTCAGTAGTATTAAATGAAACAGAAAATGATAAGTGATAACCGTGAACGACGGAAAATAGAACAACTAGGAGCAGTGTTAGAAACTAATTCATTAGCTGATAAACAGGACGAGTTTCAAACACGAATTAATCAAGTGACTGCAAATCACTACAAAATTCTAGATAGCTCATATGAGGTAAAGGTTAAAGTTCAATTTTATCTTAGTAATTTCAAATGGTTGTTGCTTTAAAATTTGATCCTTCAATGAATATTGAAAGAGTTAGTCCTTGAAGTTGAATTAAAATATTTTTAATTAAAAATAAAAAGAAAAATTTATTTGTAGTGAAGTTTTAAAAATTTAATTTCTTTTAAATTTTATAACATATCTAAAATATCAGAATTAGATATTTCTTACGTGGCAGTTTTATGTTAACCTTTATATATAATTAATAGTGAAATACATTTGTTCGCTTTTTTAACGAATTTATACGATTTACTAATTTTATTGGTTTTGAAATACTGGAAAAATGGTTGTATTTCTTTTTGATTTAATCTTTATATCATTTAATTACTATTTTAATTGCTTCAATTAGCATAATATAACAGTGTATACTTGTCATTAGAATCAATTATTTTTTTAATAAAGCAAGTAATTACTAATGTTACTTGTTATCAAAATTTCCAGTTTATCATCTTTTCTTATCATCTTATCTAAAATTTAACAATTATTGTAACTCTTTCGATTTAGAAAGAAAGTCCGATATGATGCATCAGATTTTTTACAATTTGACTGATATTTTTTTTTAGCATGAATTCAAATCGGACGTAGGATCGGAACGATTGTTAGAATTGACCGAATTAGTTACTCAACAAATACGACAATTTGTTGAGACAATCGAAATCTACGATAGTGTTTGTTAATTGAATTATTAACTTATTTTAATATATAAAAAATCTTAACTCTTTCTTTTTCCTCTAAATTTAGTATTAAGCAGTAAATTGATTAATTCAAGAATCAATCTGCTAATTAGCAATGATTGCTTATAGATTTGCATTTTTAGTTGAATCATTCGGCACAAGAGGAAATAATTGAAAAAAGTTGGCTGGTAGTAAAAGTTTTGCATATTATCTATGAATTCATTCCTACAGAACATTGCCTAATGTTAGCCAACAATACAACTTATATAGCAGCTAAAGGCGATTATTCCGAATTGGATTATACGACGAAATTTTTTGAAAATTTAATAAATTTGGCTGCAAGTTTTCATTGCATGCAATTGGATAATCGACCATTAGCCTTATTGTCAGCTTGCTTATTTAAAATCCGAAAAATGTAAAAGAATGCGTAAGTTAATTTAACTACTTTTTTATCATGATAACAATCATAGTCACTGTTATCATCCCATCACTATCATTATCATGTTAAAACTATCAGCAAATAAAATTAACACTTCAATTGTTATAAATTATTAAAATTTTGTTTTTAATCAATCTTTGTGTGTTGGAGTAAAATGATACGAATTGTAATTAAATTATGAATATAAATTCATTTCTTCTTCTCTCTTACTAATTAGTGGAAGCAATACTTTTCTTTTAGTTTTTCTTTTTTGATACTTTTATAAAAGAATACAGTGAAAAATTTGTTAGAACATTTGAGATTTGACGAACTAAATTTTCAATTTTAAATTATAAATAATTAAAATAAGTAATTTTAGGAGGAAAAAATTGACAAAATACACATGGAAATGTTTGCAAAGCATTAGTGAAATGAACGACGACGATTCAATCGATCTGCGTTACTGGCCAAATCTTCTTGTTCGCATATCACAACTACTTGTCACCGTTACCAATATGCGACGGTTTTTTCGAGATCAAAATAATATTAATGCAATAGCAAACATTCTTCTCTTTTAAATTTTCATGAAAAAAATTTTTACCGTTTTCAAAAATTTGAAGAAATTGAGATATCTCAGAAATTAATCAATAAACTTTGCTAATATTTTCAACTTTTTCGTGCTAATTTCTTATTTTTAAAAACTAAAAATATTTTCAGATTTTTTTTTGAATATTTTTGTGAAACAAAAAAAAAATGTAAACTTGGATTTCCTTTACTTTCACACTTTTTTGCCCAAATTCAAAAAATTTTTGCCGTTTTCAAAAATTTAGGAAATAATTTGGAAAAATTTTACTGTCTTCAAAAATTTGAAAAAAATAATTGATAAACTTTGCTAATATATTCTACTTTTTTTCGAAATCAATTTAAATCGGTTTTTCGTGCTAATTTTTTTCAAAATGCTATTTTTTTTTTTTTTATTTTTAAAAAAACTGAAAAGAATTTTAGATATTTTTTTGATATATTGTGCAAAAAAATTTTGTTCAGGCAATTCAAATGTATCGTATTAAAATTTCCTAAACGTTATCATTTAATTTATATTTTAT